TGTAGGGAACTCTCAACTTTGGTGGGATCAGGGTGGGCAACGGACCGACAGAGGAGGATGCTGAGATTATTCAGCATGACCAGCTCTCCACCCATTCAGAGGACGCAGAGGAGGTAAGATCAGTGGTGCGGGCTTCCTCTCCTCCCACCTCGGGTCAGCCCTAGTCTGGTGTCCCTAAGTGGCCTCACTCCTGTCCGCTCCTTGAAAAAATGAAAAGACTAATACTGAGGATCAGCTTGCTTTCTGGACCTCTTAGGGCACTACAGCTTTTTCCGGTGGTCCCTGCTCTGAACTCCAGGTGTTGCCTGCAGAGCCCGCAGCAGTTCTGTTGTCCGGCTTCCTGAGTTCCAAGCGGCCCACAGTACCCTGCACGCAGATCTCAGTTATTGACTGCTCTCCTCGGGGCCGAGGCAGAGCCAGCCCCAGCACCCCAGCTCTTACTACCAGAAACCCAGGCCACTTACGGCGGCTCCTTCATCCCTTGCCCCTCCCCAGAATGGTTCCTGTTGGAACTTTAGTCACTGGGACTTTTGAAGTCCTGTTCCACTAATGTGCTCTTGTTGCAGACATTTTATTGAGCCTTTTAAAAATGTGACTTGCCTACTTTTTAGCCAAGTTTAGTCTAGTTTAGCCAAGCTAGACTTTTCCTTAAACCACCATTGGATTTTTTAAAATCCAATCTCCTTGCCTGACCGTTCGTACCACAAAGCCTCTGAGCTGAACTTTTGAACCTCATCTATTCAGTATATTCTTTTTAAAACAAATAGAAAAGGAGTTGAGGACCCAGGGGACTGGACTTTGCAGTCTGACTGACCGCGTCTGCTATGTGTATGACTTTTAAAAAAAAATTGCAAGGCTTGGGATGCCTTTTAAAAATTAAGTAGCAACACTCTTGGTCCTGCTGACTTTGCTCTCCGTTTATGCTGAGGAGGCTTGCCTCCAATGTCAGACCATTTAACATTCACAGTCCCCATGCCCCCGTCCCCAAGAAGCAATCAGTAGCCTTGTGCTCATGACTTGTGACCTTGTGTGTGGCATGGCTTCCCACTAAGTGTAAATTTGTGTTTTCAAGCCTACCGAGGATGAAGTGGTAAGAAACAAGCTGGCTTTAGCTTCTTGTTTATCTGGGGCTTCTCTTCCCATCCTTGTCATCACTCTGCTGTCCCTGCTGCATCCTGGGGCCACACATGACACCCGTGTATTCTGCATCTCACTGGCCATTCCTAACCAGTTTGTGAACCCGTGTTCTGAAAAAGCTCATCTCCATTAACTGCATCTCATGTCAGTCACCTCTGTCTTTGTTTCATTGACTTTGCTGATCTAATGCCTTGAGAATGGCTTTAAAGGAGCTACAAGTAATGTCTGCATTGGCATTCTTGAAGTGACTCCCCTTGGGAGTTAAATCCCATTGGCCCCTGCCTTCCTCTCCTTTGTTGTTATGTATGGTCGCTCTGCCCCGGGAATAACTGTTTCCTCCCTGCTCCTCTGAGTGCTTATGGGAAAGCTCGCCCTTCCTCCCTGTCTGAGATGCAGCCAACCTCTTCCTGCTGCCCTCATCGGCTTGATGATGCTTGGAGTGAGAATGCTGGACGTTCGCTTGGGGTCAGCTTTACCTCCACGTGACCCAGTTGGGAGGTAGACAGTTTTCAAAAGGAGGCTTTGCCTCTCAGATGCATCCCAGAAAAAACAATCCATCTGTGTGAAAGGAGTTCATGTTATACCAGTCACACACAGAGGACAACAGAGAGTAGAAAGAAAGTTGGCTAAATATTCTGGCCACAGCCAGAGTAGAAGGCCTTCTAGCTCAGCAGTAGTTCATTTAGCAATATGCAAGTTTTGAATTGGGTTTTTAATAGGCCTTGCTGCACTGTTTGCATCTTCCCCCCAAATTTCTCTCTAAAATACCCAGACCTGTGAACCTTTCCCTTTCCTGGCTTTCCTGGTCCTCTCTAAGGGGGCAGTGGGATGGGAATGGGAAAAACCTTTGCTGTTCTGTGTGAAAGCAGACAGTTGTCGGTCTTCCAGAAGGCTGGAGAGGCTCCTTTGCTGGCACCTAGGAGCTTCTGTGTTCCTCTGGACCACTCATCTGTGCAGAGCCACAGGCTGAGCCACCTGGAAGGTCCCTGTCAGCATAGTCCTCACTTGTAGCCACGTCCCAGGGGAGTTGACATCCAAACAAGATGGACTGGAATTCAGCCTCCCCAGTCTCTGGCCCCCCAGCTCCCTCAGAGGTTCAGTTTCCCACAGCGTCCTAAGTAGTGAGGACATTTTATCATCATCAGGTACATACACAGTCTAGTTCTCTATAGCCAGGTTTAGATAACTGTCTCAGTTACCTAAATACGTCACAGGTGGAAGCAGCAGTCCCTCTCCCTGGGGCACGAACAGTCCAGCTGCAAACCAGAGCCAGGCTCATCAATTGTCTGGGAAACTTTTGAAGGCTGTAACCACTCAGCCAGGGTCAGTGGGACCTCTCCCCACTGTGTCATCTCTCTAGGTACATTCATCCAACCCATCCATCCATTCACCCTCCATGTGCCAAGCACTCTGTTTAGAGCTGCAGGAACTGAGAGAAGAAAAACAAGTCCTTGCCTTCAAGGAACTCCCAAATTTAGGACACAGTCTGTGATCAAGGTGTGCCCAGGATGCTGTGGGAGCACAGGAAGAGGGCACCTGACAAACACTGGGGGTGGGGGTAGGGAAGAGGAGACCTGGAAAGGATTCCCTAAGGAAATTATTGCTGAGGTTAGTTTGGTCAAGCCGGCGTCTCTGTGGAGGGAGAGAGGGAGGGAATGCCGGTGGAT